AGAACCGGACGGGAGCCGAGCCCCCGCTGCAGCTGTTCCCCGCGCCCGTGCTCACCGGCATCACCGTCGCCTGCATCCTCCTCTTCGTCATCGGGATCATCGGCAACCTCATGAAGAACCGGACGGGAGCCGAGCCCCCGCTGCAGCTGTTCCCCGCGCCCGTGCTCACCGGCATCACCGTCGCCTGCATCCTCCTCTTCGTCATCGGGATCATCGGCAACCTCATGACCATGTTGGTGTGCTCCCGTATGAGGACCACCACCAACTTCTACCTGTCCAGCATGGCCTTCTCCGACCTGCTCATCTTCCTCTGCATGCCCCTGGACCTCTTCCGCCTCTGGCAGTACCAGCCCTGGAACTTTGGGGACCTCCTCTGCAAGCTCTTCCAGTTCATCAGCGAGAGCTGCACCTACTCCACTATCCTCAACATCACTGCCCTCAGTGTGGAGCGGTACGTGGCCATCTGCTTCCCCCTCCGAGCTAAAGTCATCATCACCAAGGGGAAGGTCAAGCTGGTCATCCTCTTCCTCTGGGCTGTCTCCTTCATCAGTGCTGGACCCATCTTTGTCTTGGTGGGGGTCGAGCACGAGAATGGCACGAACCCCCTGAGCACCAACGAGTGCCGAGCCACGGAGTATGCCATCCGCTCGGGGCTCCTCACCATCATGGTCTGGACCTCCAGCATCTTCTTTTTTCTGCCCGTGTTTTGCCTGACTGTGCTGTACAGCCTCATTGGGAGGAAGCTCTGGAGAAGAAAGAGAAAGAACATCGGTCCGAATGCTGTCATCAGGGACAAGAACAACAAGCAAACTGTGAAAATGTTAGGTACGACTCTTCTTGCTCTGTTTTTCTAAAGGATGTGTGTGCCTGTGTGTGCATATGAGAGAGAAAAAGACAGCGAGAGCTCTGCTAGTTCACTGTAGTTGCTTCCAAAGGAAAGCGTTTGTTGAAAATGTTTCATACAAAGGGCTACACCTCAAAGTATTAGTTAAATAACTCTCCTCCTCAGATTTATTTCTAATTGGGGACTCTCAAACAGTTAAACTAATGTTAATCACTGACAAGGACAAATACTACAGTTACAATTTGCTAGTGCCCTGGAGATTTTGGAACATTTTTGCTCGTTGGTTGTGGATACCGATGTTATTTACAGAAGGATAGTTTATTTGATTTTTAAACAAAACTAAAACCTTCTCAAACCACAAAGTTGAGCTGCAGACTAGGCAAGCAGCATATGATGTGCTCTTAGTTTTGTATGAAAAGAGGATAAGGGTTTTAGCAAATTGGGATTATTTACTAGCATAGTTGTGTAAGTTTATGCAAATTAATCTGCATTTTTATATTCGCAAAACACCAGGATGTGCTGAACAGGGAGCACTGTCTGTGATCCCATAAATTCTCACTGACTTTAAGAAAACACGATCAAGATGACAGACACCATCATTCCTCACTTTGTATATTTACATTGCTGAATGGTTTAAACAACAGTTATTGCTGGCACACGGAAACACAAATTTTAACACACTGAGTCAGTGCATGTGGTGGGAGTCGGATGCACAAAACCAAAAAGTTGTTCTACAGTTTAGTGTGTGAAAACTGCAGAATCCTGCTGCTGCTGCGTACTTTTATTTGAGCAAAAACTCCTCCGCAGTGCAAGTCATCCCATGGATTTCGGTGGGGATGAGATGCTGTGCAGGAAGGTTTCATGGGCAGCAGCTCTGCTGTGCTCATTTCAGCCGGGTTGAAGTGACGGGCTAATGAGCTAGATGAAGAGGTGGCAGCGTGTCCTAAGTACCTTAATTATTAAATGGGAACCTAACTGATTTTTTGTTCGTGCCCTACTTTATTACTATGCAACAGCAGGAGGAATAATAAAAACCACGGCATTCTTTGTGCCCTTTCAGCTACATTTTATGATCAATAGAATTACTTCAGTCTGGTAAGCATGACCTTGGAAGTAATTCATCATTTACACTTCTAGAGTTTCAGGATCATGAATCTCTACTTACAATAAGTAAATTGCTATCATATATTACTACCATGTTTATACTTCTGGACGCTTAACTGTAAAGAATTTTGAAATAACAACTGTTTATTTCTGCCCTGAAGCATTGCCGCAAGCACTACAATATTTCAGGCCCTTTTTTCTTTTTTCTTTTACAAGGTCTGAGAACAGTAAGGCAGTGGCAATTCTGTCCTCTGACAGTGAGCCAATATTATCTAAATAATACCAGTCTGGTGTCTGATGGAAAGATGGAAAGAGATGTTAGTAAGGGCTCAGGACCAGCAGATGCTCAGTGCTGTCTGCTCTCACTGGTTTTAATGTTCTGCTTAAAATCTAGAAGGCACTTTCTAAGACTTTATCACATCATGGAACATCAAGTAAATGGGATTAGCACCAACATTTCTTTTCAATTGTAGAGAAACGTTGTGCTTCCAGGTCCATAATTAAACACCTACATGTACAGCCTGACTTGCACAGGAGCTATTCCCTGTTCCTGTTGAAATCAGTGTGATTCCGTGTGCCTGAAGATCAACTGTCAAAAGCCTGACTAGGGATATGCATTCCTACACGTGAAAATATTGACTATGCTTAAAATTCCATTTGTAATGACCATCATGGCAATATTCATTACATGGATTAAACTCCACTTGTGAGCTAGGGAAACAATATCTGAAATTGTGGGTGAAGGAAAAAATGGAAGTGGTTGGCTCAAGAAGATGCAGAGCTGGAAAACATACTCTGAACCTCAGCTCTGTGCTTCAGAGTCCACCTAAGCCCTGCATAAGTATCCATTTAAACTTGGGAATGCTTGTTCAGAAAGTTTTTGGGGAAAGGTACCCGTAATCATCCCTCTTTGCTCTTTGTATTTTATTACCTGCTGTGGCTTGACATGAGAAAGAAGGATTGCTAACACGAGAGAACAGGTCAACCGGTAAAAACTGCTTAGGAACGTCAAAACTCTACCCGAGTTTTCTGGTTTTTGTCTCTCTGTTATATTAATAGATACACCCAAAGCAATGTGAAAAATAATAAAGGTCAATAGCATGCAGGAAATGAATAGAAAATGTTTCCCTTTCTCTAGTATGGAAATTCTAATGGGCCAGTGGTCAAAGATTCACAATTCTACATACATTATATTTACATATAAATGCAGCCATAGTGATAGTGTAATATTACAGATGCACTATATAGTTATATATTATATATTTAGTTTTACTCTTCTTGGAGTAACTTATGTTCCAAAAAATGGACAAACTGAGGGGTGCACCACTCCTGTTCTTACCTTGGCACACATGCTCTTCAAGTCCACATTCTGGTGGTTTGTTTTATTTTTGATGGTTTGCCTTAAATAATTTTGCTCCCTCCTAAATAATTTTGCTCCCCAGGGATTACATTCTTCATTATAAACCACAGTGCTGAGTGAGTCTATCACATTATATAGAATTTGCTTTTGTCAAACACTGCAGATGACAGGTTGTTATCCTTTGTCACCATTTTGATTCATTCTCTATTTATGAAAACGTAATTTTTATAGGTCAGAAGTCTGCTACATCAGATTAGTTGCGCAATACCCAGGCAGCTTGGTTAGATATGATCCATGTGTGTGAAGTATTGCTAATTCATACTCTCAGAGAATGTATTGAGAGACACAAAACTGAGAACTTGTGGGATGCATTTTCACACTTTGCAATTAATTTGTTAAAGAAATAGAATTTTAAGATAGAATTCTGATCACACATATTTTAATACCCATACTTAACACAATTTCTTCTGCTGTTTTATTTTAGTTGTGGTGGTATTTGCGTTCATACTCTGCTGGTTGCCTTTTCACGTAGGACGATATTTATTTTCCAAATCCTTTGAAGCCGGATCCTTGGAGATAGCAGTGATCAGCCAGTACTGCAACCTGGTGTCCTTTGTCCTCTTCTACCTTAGTGCAGCTATCAACCCCATCCTCTACAACATCATGTCCAAGAAGTACCGAGTCGCTGCTTGCCAGCTGTTTGGACTCAAACCCCTTCCAAAGAAAAGACTCTCCAGCACGAAGCAAGAAAGTTCGCGGGTTTGGACAGAACCAACCATTGACACATGACACATGATTTCCAGTGCCAGAGCATCACTTACCGCTATCTCCCAGAAAGCCATAACGGAAGAGAAAGGGGGCAAGGAACACAAATCGAAATGTTAAAGCTGGACTTCTGTCATCATCTGGATTTGCTGGAAGATGTAACGCAGGCAGTTAAAGATTTTAAAAAAAAAACCAAAAAAAACCAACCCTAAACTTGGAGACTATAAAAGGAGGCACACGGTCACAGAATTTGGCAACACTCAAGTATTATTTTTCTGCTGCTTTTGCCCATATGATTTTTTTAGCGCTGACTTGAACAGGAGAGCTAGGCTTTACCGTGCTTAACAGGCAAACGTAGCCCAGTGCGCTTGAGAGTTTGTGTGACTTCAGTGGCAGCTGACTTGAGCTGAATTTTTCCAGACTTATCTTTAGTTTTGCTAAGAATTTTGCTAGCATATAAGTAGACCCTAGAGTGAGAAAACTGAATTGTCTTTTTGGAGTAGTAAACATGGAATTTGATACACTTTTCATAATCTTAATTTTTAAATAAACTTACATTTTTCTCTGAATGAGGAAAATAATTTCTTAAAAAAGGCAAGGAGAAAGAAAATAGATAATTTTTAAACATGCTAAAAATAAATGACCTTCATGTCACGGCCTAGTAGAAAAGAAATGAAAAAAATACCTTCACAGAAGTGGCTTAGAACATGACTGTACTGAAATATTTTTTTTAAATATATATCAGTGGGACAAGGACAGTGCTGACTTCAGGACTGCAGTGATGCTATAAAAATATGGAACACAATCTCCCACCAAAGTAATTTTTTTTTCCTACAAGCTACATCATCTTGTTCTTTTCAGCTTGACCGTGAATGACTTGATGTGTTTCAACTTGGAAGCTTTTCGTTGTTTCAATATTTGTAACGAGTCTGTGGCTACCTGTTCCTATGCTGCACACCTCCATACCCCCTAAGTCTGCTAAGGACAGGTCTCCTGCCTGTAAAACCCACTTGTTTCTGTTTAAATCATATCAACCAGTCACCAGCACCAGGACCCTCCATAAAGCCCGGTGTGCAGTTATACTAATTTGCTGCAGCACCAAATTCAGAACATTTTTTAACCAATGTGACCTGACGAAGTAATAGAAAAATCTGCATTAAAAGACACAGGCAGACACATTCTCATACTTGGTCCATAAAAATCTTACATTCAAACGATTTTTATAACTCAAGCATGCCATTAAAGGCAAACCAGGAAACTTTACATCCTTTCTGCTAGTAACTATGTCTTATATTGCACCTATTGTCACACCAATGTGTAGATTTTGTGGTCCAGCTAACAGAGCTTCGGAGCATGCATGTGCAGTAGCAGCTTCCTGGTTTTTTTGTCCTAGTATTTATTACTAGCTGGTCCACAACTGATTCTCCATCATGAATTGTCTGTTAATAAAATTCCTACTGCCTTCAAACTCCTGGTAATGCTGATGGGCCACATCCTGCCTGTTCCACCTGTATCTGATGGTGCTGCTCAGGTCTCACTCCAGAGAGAATTTGGCCTCTTCTGTACCTATCGTGTCTTTTAGATCATCCCGTGCTTTGCTAGGGCCAGGGGGGATCCCTGCTCAGTGCAGCACCGGAGCCTGTCCCGCTCCCCGCTCCAGCACTCGCAGCGAGAACAGGTTTGATGTATGTGAACCTATACGTTAAGGGACAAATGAGCAGCAGCAGCACTATAGGATTGTCTCCTGTTTCATCTCTAAACACATCCGTGTTGTTATCCCAATTTTGTGCTCTCGCTCATTGTTGACTGACAAACAGGTCTGATGGCAGATGTCCTGCAACTCAGGGAAACAAGAAATGTGGGTATCTTGGAAAGATTGTGAAGATATGAGCTCTCTAGTAGCTGTCTCTGTAAATGAGCCGACCACACACCTAGCGTCACGTGTTTCAGATCTCAGCTGTGTCTGTGCTATTAAATGTGAACAGAAAAAGAAATAAAGCGATGAGACCCTTTATAACCCTATGGGGCAGGTGGCAGGCACCCCGGGGCGTGGGGATGGGTGGGGTATGAAAGGGGTTCCAGTGTCACCCATGGTGTCTGAGACCTCAGGGGCTCCCTCCCTCCCCTGCATTAAAACCTGTCTCTCAGTTATAGGAAGCAATTCTGCATGGCTGGAATGGTCCTGCAGAGCTTTTACCTAGAGGAGAAGCTGCACTGTTGGGTTTTAATTTCTTAATTTCTTCTTTTAATTCCTAAACATGTATAGTTAAGTCAGCTAGGCTATGTTGGGTGGCTTTTTTTGTTTTGTTTTTTTTTAAACCAGAATAACATTAAAACTCTGTATGGAAGAATTTAATTTCTGCATATAAACCATAGACATACTAATAATGTCATTTAACCAACCACTTCACCAGGAGAGACTGTAAACTTTAACTATACCAACACTGTGGAATTCCCACAGCTTTGTGTACAGAATTTAAAACATTTAATCGGGGGCCACAAAAAGTCAGAAAGAAAGGGACTGGCTGCTTATTGGGAAGGAAGACAGGACTTCTTCCTTCCTTCTCACTTAGGGAATGGACTTGTTTCTGCAAGTCAATAAACGTTTAGCCAAACCTAGCAAAATACACCCATTTTTATTAGAGTGGCCACCTTCATATGGCTCTTGCACCTGCAGGAATATATTTCAGACCC